TAAAACAAAAAGTAATATGGTTGGTTTTGAAATGTGGTAATCATGTCAGAGAGGTGACTGTGATATACACTGCTCACAAAAATAAAGGGAACACTAAAATAACACATCCTAGATCCGAAAGAATGAAATAATCTCATTAAATACTCCTTTCTTTACGTAGTTGAATGTGCTGACAACAAAATCACACAAAAATTATCAACCCATGGAGGTCTGGATTTGGATTCACACTCAAAATCAAAGTGGAAAACCACACTACAGGCCAATCCAACTTTGATGTAATGTCCTTAAAACAAGTCAAAATGAGGCTCAGTAGTGTGTGTGGCCCCCACGTGCCTGTATGACCTCCCTACAACGCCTGGGCATGCTCCTGATGAGGTGGCAGATGGTCTCCTGAGGGATCTCCTCCCAGACCTGGACTAAAGCATCCGCCAACTCCTGGACAGTCTGTGGTGCAACGTGCCGTTGGTGGATGGAGCGAGACATGAGGTCCCAGATGTGCTCAATTGGATTCAGGTCTGGGGAACGGGCGAGCCAGTCCATAGCATCAATGCCTTCCTCTTGCAGGAACTGCTGACACACTCCAGCCACATGAGGTCTAGCATTGTGTTGCATTAAGAGGACCACCGCACCAGCATATGGTCTCACAAGGGGTCTGAGGATCTCATCTCGGTACCAAATGGCAGTCAGGCTACCTCTGGCGAGCACATGGAGGGCTGTGCGGCCCCCCAAAGAAATGCCACCCCACACCATTAGTGACCCACCGCCAAACATTCTGGAGGATGTTGCAGGCAGCAGAACGTTCTTCACAGCGTCTCCAGACTCTGTCACGTCTGTCACATGTGCTCAGTGCGAACCTGCTTTCATCTGTGAAGAGCACAGGGCGCCAGTGGCGAATTTGCCAATCTTGGTGTTCTCTGGCAAATGCCAAACGTCCTGCACATGCACATTTGTGGCCTGCTGGAGGTCATTTTGCAGGGCTCTGGCAGTGCTCCTCCTTGCACAAAGGCGGAGGTAGCAGTCCTGCTGCTGGGTTGTTGCCCTCCTACGGCCTCCTCCACGTCTCCTGATGTACTGGCCTGTCTCCTGGTAGCGCCTCCATGCTCTGGACACTACGTTGACAGACACAGCAAACCTTCTTGCCACAGCTCGCATTGATGTGCCATCCTGGATGAGCTGCACTACCTGAGCCACTTGTGTGGGTTGTAGACTCCGTCTCATGCTACCACTAGAGTGAAAGCACCGCCAGCATTCAAAAGTGACCAAAACATCCGCCAGGAAGCATAGGAACTGAGAAGTGGTCTGTGGTCACCACCTGTAGAACCACTCCTTTATTGGGGGTGTCTTGCTAATTGCCTATAATTTCCACCTGTTGTCTATTCCATTTGCACAACAGCATGTGAAATTCATTGTCAATCAGTGTTGCTTCCTAAGTGGACAGTTTGATTTCACAGGAGTGTGATTGACTTGGAGTTACATTGTGTTGTTTAAGTGTTCCCTTTATTTTTTTGAGCAGTGTATTTAATCATCTCTACAGCAGCGATACGATGCTACGAGTAAAATCTGAACTGTCTTCATAATCAGTCGATACATCTGGACACACCTTGTCTCTTCCTGTATATACTTATTTTTATTGATGTTTTAAAAATGATCTATTTGTGATATAGGTTGTAGTTTTAGTAGTATATAATAACAATAAACCAGTGTTATACCACATTTGGATGTCATTATTTCAGACATAAGTCATAAATGTAGTTGCTTGATTGTTTATGCTGCAAGTGTAAAGAAAAGACATTTATCATTTTCAATGTTTTATTTAAAAAAGAATGAAAATATTATCCAGAACAGGGAAAAATATCTTTGTATTTTCTCTACCCTCCTGGGCATAAAAAGAAAACAATGTACAGGTATTCATTCACACAGTGGAGGGAATTATTCGTGTAGCAGTTAGTGACATTACATCTTACACCCTGCTAGGATTAAATCTCTGTATTGTTCTGGTGGATCAGGAGAACAGTTGCATATCTTCCAGAAACAGCAACTTAGTATCACGACTCTGTAACTAAGTGCTCCACGCTGCCACACTACAAACTGTCTGTATGCTGCCTGACTGAACTGTCTGTTACTCTGTCCTGGGTCTGGAAGATCAACCATGTGTGGTGCATGGAAACACTGTAGTCTGGATGTTGTCCACAGTCGTCAGATTCTGGCCTATAAAGGAGATTATAGTTGTTAGAATCCCAAATTGGAAAGATCTGTGTTAATAGGACAGAACATTCATCAACATGATCAGATATTTTTATTGAAAAGGGGTTTGTTGTTCTCTAACAGGACTTCTGTGTCCACATTACACACCAGGTCAATGTACCATGACACAGATGAGCCGATGGCTGAAGCAGAGCTGTAGTCAGTTGTTGTAATCAGTAAACGATAATAAAAAAGTAATAAAAATAGTGATTACATTTATAAAGCACTTTATTTTTAACAGTCGAAGGACTTAGGGGGAAACACCAGAGAAACTTTGAGACAAGAACACTGGGAGATAATAGACTAATATTAATATATATATGTATAGATATACCTGTTCATATGCTGTTGTTGGAGGTGAAGTTCGACGCAGGTCCTTGAAGATGTGCTCCTTGGCTTGCACCTCGTCCTCCCCGTCCTTCCTCTGCCTCGCCTCGACCCTGGTCCTGTCCCGGTCTGTGCTTGGCTCTGGGGTGCAGTCCTCATCAGAGACAATAATGCTGTCACCATGGAAGCTCTAACATGCAAAACAACATACATGTTATGAGTCTGACACGAAATCCACGTTCGTGTAGTGTAACTGATAGAAACAGGAAAATTTGTATCAGCCTGTTTTTAGCTTTGCCCAATGTTACCGCAGCTGCTGGCACAGCTACCTGTTGCTAACAGTTAGCTAGCCAGCTCGTTACTGATTAAATCTCGGTCTTTTTAAACCTATCCAATAATAACATGTTAGCTTGATAGTGAGTACTAACAGCCGGGTTAGTTGTTTATTTTCATAATGATAAAGTTAGATGTTTTCTTACCCCTGATTTGAGCCGCTGCTCTCCGCTCGTCACACTGTCCTCGTCCACCTGCAGTGTCGGCAACGCGCGTTCACGTGTTTGGGGGGCGTGGCTTTGGAAGGAGCCCAGAAGGGAGGGGGTGGGAGTTTCTCTGTTGGATACTTTCAAAATTTGTTTCTCAAACTTACCTACCCTGCCTTTAATGAATGCCTGACAACAAAACAACATAGGTGTCTGTAATCATATAGCTTATTATCAAATCTTACACATGTTCTAAAACTTTTATGTGCAAATCACTCCAGTCAAAATGTTTATAAAAGTTTTGGATAACGTTATATAACATACATGAAGAAATTATTAAATTATTATTTTCCACTGCCTGCCAACCAATAAGCAAGTGATACACTGTTACTTTGAGTTGCTGGAAATGCTGGAAGTTTGTTGTGATTTCAGATGCACTAATCAAGAAGGAGAAAAGCCTGGGCTGTGTTAGGTGAGGGATTCCCCACAAGGTAAACGTAAACATACCAGATATGGATGTTTTATAGAACGAATAATAAAGGAGTTGTGGACAATACAAATGTATTTATACCTGCTTACAACTATGTTGTTGTGTGTTATTATTTGTTTACATCCTGCTTATAAATGCGAATGTTGAACTAAGGACTAATCTATTGGATTTAAAATTGAATGAATTGTGATTACCTGACCTGCAGTGATTGAGTGGTGTTGGTGCTCTAACTACAGTATGTTTTCTCTTAAGATAGTTTCCACGGCTACATTTTTGCCTCTATGAACTGCTCTGCATTAGGATGGCTTCACAAAACACAATATTCAAATGTAGCAAAGCGATATCTGCAAATCCAACCACGACACATTTCACAAACCCACAGCTCATTGTCAAACATTACTTCAAATCACTTTGCTGGCAAAATACTGGATACTTTTTCCCCTCTCTCTGCTCTTTCTCTCGACAACCTCCTTGATCTTGTGTCATGCTGACGGGTGTAATTGTCAGATGGTCCTTTGCTGCACAACTCTCATATGCGGAGAGTCTGAGCGTAGTGGGTGGGAGAGGCCAGGGGTTGACGTGGGTCAAGTCCGCTTGGCCCCAGTCCTCTCATCCTTCAGGGCACAGCCAGTAGTTTGGTGATAATTGCATGGTGGAGCCAGTGTTCATATTCATGGTAACCCTGAAGCAGGTCTCTCCTCCTGCAAATAGATGTCTTTTTTTCCCAGCCGCACTCACATCTCTTCATCATCTTTTACATTCAGTGAGCTGCAGGTGCCTCACTTGCTCAAAGAGTGTAAAGCAATATTATTCTTGTTTATAGCAAACTTCTATGCCATTAAAGTGCCTTAAAATACATTCAAAATATTCAAAATTATGAGCCAAAATGTGGATATGACACATGCCAGTGGTAGAGGAAGAATTCAGATCATTTAAGTGTCAGTAATACAATGTAAAAATAATCTGTAAAGTAAAAGTCCTTTATTCAACTTAATCAAATCAAATAAGCTATCAAATAAATGTAGATAAAAGAAAATGACAGTATTTCCCTCTATGATGTAGTGAAGTAGAAGTAGAAAGTGTTATTAAAAGAAAGTACTCTAGTAACCTCATATTTGTACTTAAGTACAGTAGTGAAGTAAATGTACTTAGTTACGTAGTTGTCCACCACTGATTATAAGCAGCTATTTATGAAACCATCAAAAATGTTTAGAGGGGACACAGACATCAGAAGTATAAAGTAGCATAAAATATAAATACTCAAAGTAACTCAAAACTGTGCTTAAATACAGTACTTGTGTAAATGTACTTTTCACCACTGATGACAGTCTATATTTAGCCACAAATGTCCACACAGCGAGGTATTCAGATGTTCTCAGAAAGCAGAATTTGTCTGTTTGATCACCCCTGAGATGCTGACTTAATGTAGCTTGTTGTCTGTTTTTTTTCTTTCTTATCAGAAGGGGGCACATGTGAAGTAATTGCTGCTCACAGATGCTGTAATAAGAATCGTATTGAGGAGCGGTCACAGACAGTCAAGTGTTCTTGTCTGCCGGGGAAGGTGGCTGGAACCACCAGAAACAGACCTTCATGTGTCGACGGTGAGTATTTTAGCATAAAAAGTCCAAGACATCAGGTTTTACTACAATTCTGCCCTAAAGCTGCATGGGGAAAAAATATTTGTTTCAATGTCCTTGCAATGCAGGAAAAGAATGATTTCCATTTTTATATTCAGTTCAACTAAACACACTCTCTATTATATAAAAAAGACAAATCCTGCCAGACAAAACTGCTATGTTTTGTAAAGATACAGAGATTTGTTCAAATAAGTCACCCATGCAATGCCTTGCCTCAGATAAGATTAACATTACCTGGGATAATGTCACATTCAAATTCGGTTGCTGACAGACTTTACTCCAGCAGCAGACAGTCAAACACAACAGCTGAATGTAGCACATCGTAGGGAAGAGTAAAGAAAGGGAAACAACTGTTGATTACATAGTTAACTCATAGATATTTCATGATGGTTTTATATATCATTTGATAAATGTTTGTTGCACAGGCCCAATCCCTTGTAAGAAAAGGATTTGGTGCTCAGGTCCGACACAACTTAGACACATATTGGCTTTAGTAAAACCTCTCACCCTCAGCTTTCATCCTAAATCCTTTTGCAAATATTACTGCAATCTCTGGGCAGACTGGGGGAGTTTGAGGTCTCTCGATGTCAGCTCTGACAGATTCTTTTCCTCCGTCACACATTACAAACCATTTACTGTCTACTTAACCTGTATTTAAGGCAATTTTCTCTCTTGACAGCAGAAATGTGGCATGCATTAAAGTCAAGTCACATTCACACCTACAGATTCAGTCACTCAATGAAAAGCTCCATTGAACTCTCTGCATTAGCTAGGACCACACCATCAACAGATGTGTTTGAATGATTTATTGATTAAAAACTAGTGCTGGGCAATGATTACAATTTTTAATCGTGATTCATCGCATGATTTTCTGCGATGAATCACGATTAAATAGCATATTTATGTGCAAAATTGAATAATGAATTCTAAAGTAATGTGTTGTGCACTTTTATTTTACAGTACATATTTTTATGTACTGCTATATACACAAAAGTGCAATAACATGTGGTTTGCAAACACTTTTTACCAGCAGTATTCCCTTTACACAGTAGCAATAAAATATTTCTTGTAAATCTCATTAATGTAATCAAATCAAATATAAAACCAAAGCTATTTGCCTCTGCCAGGGCATTTTTATAGCTTGTTAAGACAAGTTAGAGTCCAGAGCCACGATCATAACATCATAACAGGCACCTTCTGAGCAACAGGTTATATATAAATCTGTTTTCTTGGGGGGGGGGGTTTCTGAGCAGGTAGGCTCTTTTTTCTTTTATCAGGGAGCAGCATAAACAGTCTATGTTCAGTAGCAAGTGTCCCTGTTAGAGTGAGGTGAAGCTGCCGAAGTTGTCTTGTCTTGAACGTTCTGTACACGACGTGCAGCACAAATCATTGGAAGAGAGACTGATCCTCGCTGTTTGTGAGTTTCCAGAATCTATACTGTTTTACTAAATAGGACATCAACTTGAGGGAATTCGCATGGCAGAGCATCCCCACAAAACTAGATGAAGGCCTATCAGATACAGTTATGTAGACTTTAATTTTAACTTAATTTAACTTATCAACCCCATGGAGCCAAGCAACTACGTGATTTTAAGAAGGTTCCTAAGATCAACATATTCCTCAATACTAATCAGCATGCAGTGAGTAGCTATCCATTATGGCATTAAATCACTTTTGTTTATCTACTTCTCCCACAAGCTGCAGCGTAGTTTGCCGAAGCCTCCCTCCAACTCTTGTTTGGGTGGGTGATTTGTAGACTGATCAACATCCCACCCTCCTGTGTGTGACCCATGTATGTGTATATATGTGTCTTCAGAGTCAGTGAGCAACAGACTTTCAAAATAATAGGTCTAATAATAAAAACTGCATAAACGTGCAATAAAATAATTGTTGACGTTAGTTAATTAATTAATTGTGGGGAAGGTTTGGTGGGAAATCCGCCATAGCACCCTGGATGATGGAATCCTCATAACCCTATGGGGAGGAAGAAGAAGATGAGGAAACAAGATAGAGAAAGGGGTTGGGGGGAGAGCTGCAGAATACAAGAGCAAAGAAAAGAAGATGGGTTAGGTGAGTATTTATGGAAATGCCTGGAGTGACATGATTGAGGTGTGGTCCTGCTCCTCTAGAACGGACCACACTAGAGAGCTGCATTGGGATTGGGAACCCACGGGTTTTAACACTACTGAGCGGGCGGTTGAAAAATATACTGTGGATCCCGCAGTAGCGCTAATAAGATGGACTCAACAAACGAAATTGAAAAGAAGATTAAAGTGAGTGCATGCGGCTGCTCCCGAGAATGAGGAGGCTAAACCCCATTGGTGTCTCTTAAGGAGTGAAGTTTACTCACTGCACAGCCTCGCTGATGTCCGTCACACGCGCTTATACATTACAAAACTTCTGAGATGTTATTGACAAAAATGAATGCAATGATTTATGTCGGTTATTCTGCATGTTTAGGATAGCCCAAACATTTGTGTCCTTTTTTTTCCACTGCATGTCACAATGTTTGCGGGCGCAGGGAAAGAGGATCTTTCATGGTTTTGGTCTGGGATTTCCGTAACTGCAAGTAGTTTGCAAGGGTCTGGAGAGGGTTGGATGCAGACTGATAGCAAGTCAGTTGTAAGAGGAAGACAGTGAGCATTTTTAGCTGGGTCTTGGCATAGACATCCTCTGAGTAGTAAGGTTATCTGTGGATGGTTAGAGGCAAAGCTGGGGCTGCCAGTTTGGAGTTTGGAGAAAAATCTATGGTAAACTTTGGTGTGCCTTTTTATAGCCATCAAAAAATGGGTATAGTTAACAAAACAGGACATAGTGACGGGATCGAACGATGGAAAGGTTGATCTTGATGGAAAATTTCATGAGGTCAAGGAAAGATGTAAAGGAGAATTTATAAGGACTTGGGAAAAGACAACCGCCTCAGAGAATCCGATTGCACTTCTGGACTCACCTGCTACCTGGACCGTTTCAGGATCGTGGAAAGTGGGGTCTCAGGCATGTAGGTGGCCTAGAAGTTTTGGCTTCCTAGGGCCAGAGAGTAACCTGCATACTCGCTTGGATTTGCGGGGTTGCACTGCACTCCACATGCTAATAGTCAGGCAGACAAGCACTCCCTGAGTAAATGCCAGGCGTTCGTGGTAACCATGGAAACAGCTTATGTGCACTACTGTGTCCCTGCTGATATAATTGTATTTTCTTTAAACCTTCCCTAAATTACAACTATATGTACCAGATACATCCAGTCTTGTGCCAATTCTCTTCCAATACAAAAGCCCTCTTGTTTATGTTCCCATCACCATTTAGATAACAGTTAAAGGATCAGCCTCTCATCCATTGATTTGCACTGCGCGTCACGTAGAAAAAAGTTAAAGACAATTCAACTTTGGCAGCGGGCGGACGTGTGTGCATATTGCCAACGCCTCCTTACCTGCCATTCATTGAAAATCAATTACTAGGCATGTCAGTCGCTCCCTTTCTGAAAAGACCTTTATGCTGGGTCTGCTGGTGTGGGTTGATGGAAACTTTAAAAGTGATCATTATGATTCTGTCCAAATAATTCCTTGTCCGATTGGAATAGTGAGATGGAGTCCATTCTCGAGATGATGGAAAGAAGTGGAAGATGAAGATGCTTGTAGTAATTCACATGAGCTACTGAATAGTAGCTTAGCTTGCTTGAGGTGATGTTGCGAGATATTGGAGTGAAGAAGAGGAGATGGGTTTGGTGGTTGTTTATGGAAATGCTAGGAGTGGCATGATTAAGGTGTGGTCCTGTTCCTGAAACTACAAAGCAGCAGTTTTGCACAAGTTGTCTGAAACACATGGCACATACAGCCAACAGCCACCTGCGACATGACACATTTGATAATTAGGATTAGACATCCCCGCCTAATTATCCTGCATATAAAAACTGCTTGGGTGTGTTATCTGGTTTTGTATTCTGTTAGAGGGGAAATTACCTGCATCACCATCTCTCTTGTCTTTGTTGCCCGGTAGCATCCATAGTAATTGGGAAGTGGTGGTGTGAGATGGAGCCTTGCCTGGAGGGGGAGGAATGTAAGACACTCCCTGACAACTCAGGCTGGATGTGCTACGCCGGCAACAAGATCAAAACCACAAGGGTAAGATAACCTCTTTTGACCGCGGGAAACAAGGCGTTATACAGTAGCAGAACAGTAGGAGAGAATTGTACAGCGCTGTGACACTCGCAGTGGCATCAGCAACATAGCATAGTTATTTAGATTGAATTAGTTGCAAATTGATTTATTACCATCTCTGTTTAACTCCTCAGTTTCCCCCTTCCTTTTTTGTCAGAACACTCAGCCATACACAACATCAACATATTAACACTTTGTGGAAAGGATGCGAGGGAATGCCTCTGGTGCAAAGGTTAATCTGCAGGTCAGCCTCTTCATTTATATTGGGACACTGCTTACTATTTTCTCACAACTGATTTAATTACTTTAATTAATTAAGCTTTCTAAAGGGCAAAGCATACAAGTGATATTCATTTCTGATGTTTACATCATCCTAAATACTTCTTTCCTTCTTATTTCAGCACTGTCACGGGCCCAATTAGCACAAAGACAATGAACCTATTGTTGCTTTAAGAAATGTGAACACTTCTCAGATTAAAGTGTAAAAAGATGTAGAATACATAACGCACATCCTGCTCAAGGCTACTGAAAATATTGACGCTCCAAGCTGCCTGCGGGGAACTTCATCATAACCTTGTAATGAATATATTTTCATCATTTTCTTTCCAACATTGAGATGGAACGTGAATATCTGGGCATTTGGATTAATATCTGAAGAGCATCTGGCGTCCCTCCGCAGACATCAATAAAAGTGATGTTCGCTACGTTGCACCAGACAGGACAGGAATACATCAAAGGACATGGGATGAGCAAGAACAGTAGTTGACAGCCCTCAGGTTTTTCTTTTTTTGTGGAAACATTGTAAGAGGAAAAATATTGTACAAATTGTTTGTCCTTTCTTGTGTACATAAAATTTATTTATGGTGGTGATGAAAAACGATCATTCGAGTCTCTGAACGCAGTCATGATCTTCCCTCTTGTCGCCCATAAAACCCAACACAGCCAAAGTTTGACGAGTTCAAGGGTGTGATTTTAAGATGAACTAGATGCATTGTGAGGGAGATGTTTTACAAATACAGCTTGTGTGTCTTCATTCTGTATATTTTACCATTTGTTTGTACGGTAATGTATGCCTTTGATCACCTCTTAAATGGCTTTACCAGTCGAATTTGGTAACGTGTCAGCTACCCTGAAACTGATTGATTCACCAAAAATGTGATAACAATAGGTTGTTTTCGATACTTGAAATGCCTTATTTGTGTCAAATCGTTTAAATAATGATATTGTACATACAAAGCCATCTATTGAAATGTGCTGAAATTTCATTAAAGTAATTGTTCCTGTACCTAATGTGAGCGCATCCTTGCTACTGCCCTCACAGGTGTTAGTTACCAGTGTTCAAGGATAGTAATCACAAATCTGACAACAATTTGATGCTAAAGTAGCCTACCCACGGCACCTGACATTTTGGAAAATGTGCTTGTTTGCTCTTTTTCCAAGAGCTACACTAGAAAATTCACACCACTCTCATGTCTGTACAGTAAATATGAAGTTGAAGGTAACGGTAGCTTAACTTAGCATAAAGACTGTAAACAGAGGGAAACAGCTAGCCTGACTCTTTCCAAATGTAACAAAATCTGTCAACCAGCACATCTAAAGCTCACTAATTAACATGTTATGTCTCATTTGGTTAATGCAACAAAATGCTGTCATTGTTGGTTTGATTAATACCGTCAGGTCCAGGGCCAATCGGAGTCAGATAAGGGCAGGTCTCTTGGCAGGGAGTGGAGCTGAAACAATGGCGGCGGCAGCTCAAGAAAACCCCCATGTCCTCTCTGAAACGAAAGTGGATGCAAAAGTACCGGGGACGAGAGAGGAAGAAATGAAATGGCCTATGAGCTGAATACACAGCTATGACAATAATAGACATAGGCCAACAATGTGTGACAATGAGACCACAAAAATAGGATGTGAACTGTATTTTATGAAGTTATTAAATCAGCATCTCCATAACTTATTAACTATAAACAGGCAAAAAGAAATGATTTGATACAATTCGATTGGAAAGACTTTTGCAAAGGATTTTCCATGAACATCATGAACATCAGTTGACCAGAAGTATTGGGCCTTGTGTGCAGTATTGGAGCATGTTAGGCCTACTTCCTTTTATAAATGTTTTCTTGTCAGAAGTATACAATTCGTGCAGCACTGAGTAGCTAAATTTATATAAATAAATAAATTTATGTATTAATTTTTTAGTTTTTACGTATTCCTCCATGCAATTACGTGCATGTCCTTTAATCATAATCATCTCAAACGAAAACATCTGAATCACCCCCTTCAAACTTGTAGCTAATCTATAAGCCTGACCCAGGTTATTAACTGAAGGTATACTTGCTCTCTGTATACACAGGTATATAAAGCTAAGAACGATTACACAGATAGATGAATGGGTAACAGGACTCTCTCTGTATTTACAACACTTCGATACAGTATCACAGTGTGATACTGGCCATTGCTTTCATAACATCTACCCCTAGGGAGTTATTCCAGGAGAAAATCGGGGTGACTGTTGGTGCTGTGCAAGGTGTCATCCATCTTCTGGAAAAATGAAAGCTTTTCCTGGACCTTCCACGCTTCATTATTTTCCACTTTCCAAGTATATTCAGCTTTGTTTAAAAGCATTGTTGTCTGTTCATGAAAATGCACCAGTTCTCCTATTCACAAGATAAAAATATGAGCGATTGATATTTTATTTTCCTCTAATTTCATCTGCTTTTAAACAGCATCTGACCAATTTGCACCATATTCTGCCTCTTGCACAGTTTATCCATGCATTTATTTTTATCAGTTTCTCTGATATGATGGGATACTGGGTATCTGCCACTGTACCTGCTAGTGAAATTTGAGCACCTTGTCATTTTCAAGATAAAACAGTAATTGTTTTCGGTAGCAACAATGTCAACTATGGTTGTCCCATTTTTACCTCAGCACTCTATGTTACTCCATGGTTCATTCCCATAGCAATCCCTAACATTACCCGAAACATTATTTCCTATCAGTTATCCAAAAGCATGTTGCTTTCTTAAAATATCTTTCGTGATCTAACAGATGTCTGTTGTCTCTGATGTCTTTCCTACCAGAGAAATAGAGTAGTCACCAGTGGTTAAACCAGTGTTTAAATCCAATATTTCGCAGACTGTGTGGCTCTGCACTATTCTTCTTCTCTAGAACATGCGCTAAGTCCATTGCACATGTTGAGGCAGTCTGTGAAATTCTTTTTGCCTTGGCAAATATTTTATGTTTCTGCGCACACAGTAGGAATATGCAGGGTCACAAAAATACCTCTGAAGATCCAACCTGCTGTATAACAGGTGAAAAAAATAAAGATTTGACTTTTCCCATAAGTTTGCATAAGAAACGTTACTGTATGTGATAGAATCAAAGTGACGTATAGTGTGCTGCGATCTCAAATGGGGCTATCAAAACCCCAAACGCAGGATAAATTTCAGCTTTTTAGAAAGAGAAAATTAACCAATGTACAAAATATAGTGCAAAAGCAGGTGAAACAGAAGCTTGGCTCCCAATGGAAAACATGCTAATCTAATTTGCATAGTGACTACAGTCAACTGACTTGTCTTACCAGCAGCTGTCATCCACATTCATTACAGAGTGTGAATTTAACTCAATCAAGAACTTTAATGAGAGACAACCATGTTTAGCTGTAATGAGGAGGACATTGTACTGTAAATCCAGATGTGGTTGTATTAGCGATAAATAGTGAATTAATAGGAAACTAAATGGCATGTATTCAGTATTTCCCTGCTGTGCTGCCCTTGCATGGGTTGTCTGTTGGGTCCATCTGTGCAGAGGATCGTGCTGCATAAACACAGATGCCAAATTACAGCACACTCTCCATCATCCATTGTGCTGAAATTACACCAATTGTCTATACATGGCTGGATGAATACACGAAAATGATGTTTAGGTTTATTTGCTTCAGGCAATCGCAATTTGATCTAGCATTTGAAATAATGTTTCCTATCCAACATGGGTTTGCTATATGGGCATAATATGTGACGGCAGCAAGAAGCATCTCATTTTCTGTCAGTCTTCGGAGTGGCTCTCTGGGCTGCTGCTGTAGGCTCTGATGTCTCACATCAAGCTGCAGAACAGTGAGAAATAAGACACAAGTGATGATGATGTGCCCTGACTTCTTTTTATGATGCACCAGGGACGTCCTGGGAATTGAGGCTCCCATGGGTTTGTTCTGAAGATACAATTCATTCAAAACACTCAGACAGTCTAGTCATGCTTCATCCTCTGCACTTGGAAGTCGCTGCTCTTTTTCCATGAATATCAAGGTGCAACTTAAAGCAACAGGATATGATGATAAGGTGTTAAGTGTGAAAGAACTCCTATCAAGATAAAATCCCTGCACACCAATAATTAAATGCTTGAGAGAAGCTCAATGCTTGAGATGCCTTTTTATTAGTAGCTTATAAAATTAATTGCTTGTCTGTTAATGCTGGATGCTAAACTTCACATATGAGAAACTGCAAGGCACACATATGCAGTAAAAAAATATTAAAGAATGTTACTAACTCCTTTTTTCAGTTATTTTCTGGGGCATCAAGCAATCACCAAGATTACCCAGTCTAATCACATCCTGTACAGAGAACGGTCTCCACTGCCCCTGCAGGATTCTGGGATTTCAAAGTCAAGGTAACGTGGACTAAACTGGATTCTAATTAAAGTTGACATCAGGTGCCTCATGCTCCTTTCCCCCTCCTCTTCAAGCTTTCATCTAAATGATTCATGCAGAGAACACCAGGCCTTTCATGCCGTTAGGTCCTCACAAAGGAATAACAACTTGATCACACAATGCAAACATAGACAGATTTACAATGACACCGGCACAGTGTCTGTTGCACTGGGTTATATAAAGTTATGTCAGACTGATGCTGAGGCACTCAGCTGACATTTGTGTTTTTGCAGGGATGTTTTTCCAAACATTCATGCTGACAAATGTGGAAGAGTAAATTAAATCAGAAGGCTAAAAATGGTTTTCTAATTGAATCACGCTGCATCATGAACAAAATGCTAAGTTTCCAGGTGTGGTAATTTGAATGAGACCTGCAGCGAACCTGACATGATTGTTTGGAAATGAATGTGACAAGTGTGTGTCAGCCATATGTTGTGGGCTAGAGCTCTGGTGATGTGGAAAAGGATCAGTTGAAGCAACTCAGTGTCGCTCTGGGTAAGTACCTAAATACCTAACTGAAATATGAAATTGAATCCTTTTCTGAAATTGCAGATGATACAGGTACGCTAAAAAAATTCTGAATAGAGAAATGAATACTTGGAGGCTACCACTCCCCACCCCACCCTACCCCCAGCACTCCATAAGTGGGAAGAGGATTTATCTCTCTGTGAGCCTGCCTTGAATTAAAGATGAGCTCCCACTGCCTTTTGTCAAGCTATTGTGAACAACACAGCATATAGTACACAATAACTACAGGTATGCAAAAAGAGGTTTGGTATAATAGTTCAGCTTTGTGGAGAAGCTGAACAGACTTACCATGACATGGATGTGCCTCCAGGCTGCATGAGAGGGCTATGTGCTCTTATTATTCGTATATTGAAATTGCAGGCTGAAAATCTTGTCTCTGAAAAACCTGAAAATTAGTGGAAGTTGTGCTGCTAATGAATCCTAACAACTTTATCCAGGCTGGTAGTTTTGTTTCTGATGTATGAAAATAAAAAGATTTGTGACTTTAACTCAAGGACTAATACAACTTGTCAATGTTAACACAGAAATGAGTAAGATCCACCCATTCACCATGTCTGTCCTTACACATTTTTAGATAGGGATACTCTTGTGTTTATCACCAAGAAACTGTCTGTCTGATATTTGTATTTTTTTTGTTTGTTTCATGGCAGACAATGACATAATGGGAGCGTCATCTGTTGAGGCGAAGGACGTGAAATGAGCAGCGGCCGACTCGTGTCCAATCCATCTCCCTCACTGTGGTGTCTTGCTGTAGGTTATTTTCTTCCTCACCACTCTGGCCTCACCCTTATGCATGACTCTAATGGAGACTGACAGTAAATCACAATTACCCATACAAGACACTTTAAAAATAGTTTAGGAAATTAGGCTGCCTTAATCTGAAGGCTGCAAACATGAACACATGGCCCGCGTTGTACAACGTCCTATGAGGGCACATCATATGAAAGTTGAAACCCTTAAGAGAATAGGGCTCTAGTCATGCATTTACACCTTTGTCCTTATTTTATTTGTCCCTAAAACATGTGAAACATTCGGCAGAGAAGTATGAGTTTTCAAGGCATTTTAAGCAGGAAAAATATGTTGCTCCAGTTAGTGGGTGGGATCAAAAATCTCCAAAAATGTTGTAGCAAATTTTCAAATTAGCTCTGTCTTGAGAAATCAACCACAGATTTTAAGTTTAAACAACTACAGTATATTCTCACATAAAAACCTGCATTCCGTGACACCACAACAGCAGTATTATAACTTACAGTTGTGGTTCTTCTCCTCCACCATTGCTGGTTGTTGGTGCGAAATGCATTCTGGGATACACGGCTAAGTCCACACAAGTCACCACCCAATGCATGCTCAGTGGGCGGAGCTTAGAACACATATGGGTATTTGACTGAACTCAGCTAGATGCGGACTTTTGAATTGGAACAGTATTTTGGTCCACAAGTCCACAAGAACACAAGTACAGACAAGAACGCAGATTGAGAAACAGCTAATTTCTTGGCCAGGTGCAGTGACTTCCTGGAGTCTTTGCTGGTTGCCTGGAAACCTCACAGCAACCATAAAACATCAATAGAAATAGAAATAGTCCTGCACTTTAACCCCCATAAAACCACAAATTGTGTATAAATAGGCAGTGTCTCACTCAGGGTACATAACCATGTAAGTTTCATTAATGTACAATGCAGCCATGAGGTATGAATTACATATGAATACATCACAGCAGAGAACATTAATATTGTCCAATTAATGTTTGTTCATTAAAGTGTAATTGTTCAGTTCTGTTTTAATTAAGCAAACAAGTAATCTCAATTCCAGATAGCATGTATGCATAATGTCAAGCAAACAGATGAAACCTCTCAGCTATAACCAAACTACTTTCAGTGTATTTCTCTGAGTCGCCTATATGGCAGTAAAAGAAGGCTAATTTAGTTCAGACACACAAACACACACACACACACACACACACACACACAGTATATACACAAAGAGAGAGCGATAGGGAGAATTGTGTTTACATTTTTTATTACAAGTGTCAACTCCAGATGAGGAAAAAGTTGTTAAAAGGGAATAGAACAGCATTTCCATTATGTTTTTCATGTGCCCCAGGATAGTTTATTTTCTATTAGTGAACATGAACTACTGTCCCCAGTAGACAGTCACAAGAGAGGAAAGGTTCCCTGACACATATCACCTGCAAACTGATATCAAATAAGCTGCCAGAAATGTGTTATTTGTGACTGGTTTGACTTATGAGAATCGAGTCTAAAGACATGTTCCAACCTTTGTAAAGAATAGCTCTAAATGAGGTTATTTCTGTCTCATTTTGTAGATCAAATGTAGAAAATTGTAAATTTATTCATCTGTTGTGGTGCGCCATATTTCTGCCCCTTTCTTGTGTTCTACATGTTCCAGCTAAGAATAAGGATCTTTTAACTCTCGTCTTAATTACCTTGTTTTGGCTACTTTAATTTTGAGTTTAGGATATGATTTTTGTTTTTGCCATGTATTATGACAGGTTCTCAGAGGGTTTCTTCTCAATTTGTACTGAAGAACAGAGATAAAGCTCTTTTCACAGGCTTTAAGGTTATTTTGCAGATAAAAGGTAATCAAGCATCACTGCACAGCTTTCTTAAATTTTTCTAAGAACCTGCGTGAGTGCGTATAAATCACAGCGACACATCTGAAAGTCACCTAATGAATGTCACAGCAGCTCCTTTGAAAATTAATCGAAGAAAGAAAGTTGTGAGTGCAGCTGGTATTTTAGGAATACAGGCACACATTTGAGGATGTGTGCTGTCATTGCTGACATAAACCACACTGGGGTGTTATAGATTTTACCTTATTTCAAACTTTTATTCCAAAAAGTTAGTTCTTGTTCAGAATTTGAAAAACAAAATCTCTTACTTGACAAAGTATGGCCATAAAGGTGGCAGCACATTATGTTACAGACAATATACAACTATGACAGTACAATATTGTGTACAGTACACAGGAATAAAAAGTTTAAATCAAAATATTTCTGTGAAAAAGTTAACAGAGAGTTTAAGAATGGTGATAATACGGAAGTCACACATCAACTTATTCAGCTCAATCCCCAGTGGATTTTATTTGCAGCTTCTGTAGAGTCTGTGAGAAAATGTAGCTCCATCAGTTCCTGATCTTCCCAAAGCTTTCTTGTCCAGGTCTACTCAGATTTTAAGAACAGTCAGGGAATCTTGGGAACTTTATTTTCAATGAGCTTTGCATTTCGGTATAATATGAATACATAAATTTAAGTTGGGGAGTGGTTCAGCGAGCAAGACTCGGGGATAAAACTACTGTTGGACATCTAGAGAAGCCTAACCGACTCCCGAATTTAATATGCAATAATATGTTGAACCTAACTAATCAAACTTAATTTTCAATCCAAGCCTGAGAATTTAAATCAGTGACTGAAAAGTATCTAAATCCACTTGGTATACGTCATTAACAAAATATTTCCTGTATTCAAGCAAAGCTTAAGTTGCCAAAACTGAACAAAATCAAAAGTGACATGTTACTAAAAACATTAGGGTTGCATGTAACAATTATTCTCATTATTGATTATCTTGATTAATTGTTTGGTCTAAAGATCAACAGAGAAATATTATCTATTGCATTTTTGCTTACAATGTTTAAATAGTTAAAAGGTGGAGTTATGTTATTCATCTATTAAGAATGTTCTGAAATAATACTGAATAACTGTTTAAGTGCAAGTTATCGTAGCACTGTACCCCTGAGGTCTTCTGTAAACAGTTGAACTGTGTCAGATCATGTTTATAATACTGTAGTCAGCTGTTTCACAAGCTGCTGGTGGATTTATAAAAGTAGCTACCATATGACACATTCATTATGAGACGCTGCTGTGTACAAAGCCCATCAAGAGACTCACAATTTGTAATGTGACAACCTTTCAGTGAATCTACAAAAGAGGTTTCATTCATAACCAAAAGCATATTACAAGTGGACGGTATCACTGATTTTCTAAAAATTTTCAAAACAATAAATACTAATATCCTTATCATTATTATCATTAAGTGAATCTTAAAATTAAATTTTATCATGCTGACGACATTCATAACACTGCTAACATTAAATAATAATTAAGACTTGAATCTTTGTAAAGCGATGCATAAATTGCCCTCAGAGTCAAATCAAGTCACTACCAAAACAATCATAATGCATAATTGTGTTAAGTAAATGTTGAGCAAGCTGCTTACAATTCAGCTGCTTGCAAATAGCACAGCATGTGGCATTCATACAAGTCTGATGCCTCAGATGGGATGATTTGCAGTCACTGTATTTGTGTTATTATAAAAAGGTGTTCAGAAGGAATATTATTCATATAAAAAGGAAAACTGATGAAGTGGTAATTAACATTGTGTTTTGTGGCTATGAATTCCTTCAAGGCAGAGACTCTCCAATGTTTCCCATCATTACTATAAGCACAGTTCCCTCCACAGGAGCACTCAGTTTAGAGAGACAAACAAAAGCATGATGTAAATACTCTCAACAGTGAAAAAGCTGCTCTTCTCTTCTGTCTCCCCCTTCTCCCCATGATTAGCATTTCAAACAGTCCTTGTTTTGCATCAGAGCGTCATGCTTGCGTGCATGCCATCACAGCCTTGCAGGTGGTGGTCTGTCCAACCAGTGAAGTTGAAAAGCAGCCTTTGTGTGTGTGTGATTGGGGGGGGGGGGGGGGGGGGGGGGGTCTGTGTGTGTTTGTCAGAGTGCCTCTTCATGGTAAGGAGAAGTCCAAAGGGATCTGACCTCTTTACAAAGCTCAGAGTTAAGTCTATGGGACAGCATTTTCTACAAATGCTACACAATCATAAATTTCTCAGTATTTGTGGTCTTCTGCTTTGATCGGCGGAGAGAGTCACAAGCCACTGACTGGATTCACATTCTGCCTCCTGAAAATCCACAAAATCTCTTTTTAAGTGTCTGCCAGCAAGCTCATCCAAACTTTGATTGAGTGCATCACAATGTGCTCAGCATATCAAGCACTGAAACAATGATCACTTGCAGTAGCTGCCTCTTTGGACTGGGAAAAGGTGCTACGTCATTTTATCTTAAGTTAATTGCTATTAAATTGTCCAGTCCATGGGATTAACCCATATAACTGTGTTCAAGCCAAACAAAATTAAAATAATGAGTTCCTGCAGTTTAAAGCTCAGGCAGGAGATATCTAATTAAATCTATTTTGTTCTTTGCTCTATCTGATGGGGTGGTCACTGTCCTCAGAGTGCAGTGTTAGTTAAGGTTACTGCTGCAGGCCAGGACGGGCTTGTACTGATGAGATGGAGCTTCTGACTTGCTACCGTGCCACCTGAAAACAGAAACATATGAAGGTACAACATTTCACAACTCTGGATTTTGTTAATTTGTTTCAACATAATTTACATTCAATAAGCTGAGGGCTAACATTTTATCGTATTTTGCTCGTTTTCAGTCCGACCACTTGCTAAGCCCAGTCCTTGAATAACAATTGTCCAATCATATAGCTTAGCGACTAACAACCATAGGTAAGCTTTGGATTTCCCCACATGGCAAAACAGTGTGCATGGGGCTAAAACCAATACTCTGCATCTCAAGAGTTTAGGGGGATTGAGTCTTTACAAAATTAAAAACACAATTACAAAAGTGTATGAATAAATGTGTGTGATCATCTGCTTTTACGTAAGATATGATTGTTAGCATGCCTAGCTAACAACCTACAGTAGTAACTAAATGCATTATTGTGAGGTTTCAAAAAGATCTGTTCAGCACTGGAAGATCTGGTATGTAAGCCAGGATGCTACTTCAGTGTTTAGAGTAATGTTAGCTGTTAGCTGATGACAAGATTCCAGGGAGTCAATGCAACAGGTCAAGATATTGTTACAGTACATACAGTAACTCCCTGTAAGGCCACAACTTGTTTGTGTTGCATCAGTGATGTGTGTAACTCAGCAGTCTCCCTAATGAACAGACATCTCTTGAACTAAACCTTCAGACACTGGAAGTGAGTAGATGCGCAGTCACAGACTGAAGACACAGGCGAGGTTCTGCATCTTTGTACTACAACACTTCCTCATCTGTCAGGCTGTCCTTAAGACCAAACACCATTTCACAATGCATTCAAATGTGTAATCAACAGATGATCTGAGTGTTAAACTTTTTATGTGGTATATATCAGCAAGCAAGTCCAGCCCTCAGATCCGTGGTAATGTGGTGAATAAACACACTCCAAACCTCTCTGTGATGTGGGGTGAGAAAGAGATTTGTATCAGTTAATAATTTCAGTTGTCAGTGCATTTTCTGTCCTGGTATCACCTCAAATCTTGTGTCTTCAGAGAGATGGGAACATCTGGCCAATAGAGGTCAGAGGAACCAGACTGAACCTTTGGAATTCAGCCTCTTCACCTGCTGCCAGAGTGTGGAGCTTCCAAACAAGTGGATACAGTCTGGACATTGAGTTTTTTTGTTTGTTTGTTTGCCTATGAACAGTTATGTGATAAGACTGTCTGAAGGTTTATCTGACTGACATGTTGATAAGTGAAAAAAAATCACATCTTGAGAAGCTTCTGCAGAGCCACGGATCAAAAAGATCTCTTTAACTTGCAGCATAATACTTTAAAACTTATTTTCAATGTGTTTCCAATCAATATATCTCCATTTCACATCTGAGGGCCTTTCATAGCTCAATAAGCTGTAAGAGGTTTACATGCACTAAATATACGTCTTTTTTTTTTACTATAAGCGTGTGATGACTTTAATTGGCTGTAGGAGGTTGCGGTTGAAGACATAAGGACGACTGACATGACTGCTATGGAAATAGAACAAGGAAAGCCTTACTCATACAGCGCACACAGAGGAGGTCTCTATCACAGTGTTATCAATGTGTAGGACTCTTAGTGAGAGAGAAAATAGGCCATTTGATTGTGTTAGATTTTCCAAACTAACTGCAAAAGTGAAGCATACAGTTTATAAATTCAAACATTAAAGCATAAATCTTACCGCTGTGTTGCTCGTCCAAGTATGTTTTTCTATAGTAAGTTTTCAAATTGACTATCCAAAGGTTATTACAGAATGAAACATTTTATTTTTGAGACAAAAAAAGCAAAAGCTAGCTGTTTCCTTCAGTAGATTAACAATGCTGCTCCTTGATTTTCATGTTCTACATACTGACTATTTGAATGGGAAATGTAACATTAGTTTAAGCCTCAGCTTTTTAGCATTATGTTATGTACTGTATGTAGCTATCATGTACATTAAGAACCTTTTTACAGAGTTCCTTTAAAACAAGTCAGCTAGAAACATTATAAAGTCAGATGGAGACATTATACTTCTACTCCAGTACTTTTATTTGATCAATTTTACGTGTTTTTCTACACTGTGGTATTGCTACTTTTGCTTAAGTACTTATTCCTCCACTGCTCTCTTCTGTTTTATTCTATTGTTCAGTAGTATAATCTGATGGACCACATGACTACCGGATATCTTTTGATCAGTGGCTGTGTGCTGGCAGTGCTAACTTGGCCCTGTTTCACTGTAAAATGTTTCCCCCAGGAATCATACATACTGAATAAAACAGCAACTGATGAGAAAGTGCATTTCTAAATGCAGTGCGGTTTCCTTTGGCCGTCAGATTTAATTACATGGGTTTTAGTGTTCAGTAGTTTACAGCTTATTTCATGTTTGTCCTCTTGGCCCCATCATTGACCAGATTATAGAATTAGTTTTTCTAAGCCCACTGTGCCTGGTGGAGAGCAAGAGGGTTGATATGGCCAATGGGAGCAGTGATTATGCTTGATTTTGGAATCCTTCAGCATCAAAGGAGAGCTTATAAAAATAAAGCTTTGTGATGAGCGCTCACAAGTCTGTCAGCCACTGATTTTCATAAAAGTAACGCAATAAAACAGGAGCAGATTTACCATATCTCTGCATTTAAGTGTTTATAAATACCATGTCTTAAATTACAGCCATTTTGTGTTAGGTCTTTTGCACAGTGTTGGTGCCGCTGTGACTCAGACTAATGCAGGCCTTCTCCTCACCTTTGTGGTCTTTACTTTGTTCCCAGAGATGCACGACCAGCCAGTGAGGTCAGGGAGAACTCGGCACTCCTCCCCCTCCAGACACGGCTTCATTTTACACCACCACTTCTGTCGCACAATGGAAGCTGGAGAGAAAAAACACACCACAGCAGAAGGTCACTATTTAGAAACGAGGACTTCAAAAAAGACTTGTTTGGGAAAAAAACTCAATCAGAAGTCACACTCTCTGGTTCTTGAATGCCTGTGTATCAGTAGATTCTGGTGAAACTGACTAATCTGACTCTACTTTGAGTAATATATTCATGTAATATCAGAATATTTCCAGTTTAGAGAAGTAGAAGAGGGTCCTAGTAAAATTACCTTCAACACAAGAGGGTAGAGCCCTTGTTGTCCCCGCCACCTGTCCTGGGAAGCAGGAGCACTTGACTGTTTGAGAGCGTTCTTCAATTTTGTTCTTATTGCAGCAACGATGAGCAGCAACCACTTCACAAGTCCCTGTCCTCTCCTGCGATGACCCTGAGGAAAGGAATTTAGAGGAAAAGGCATTCAGCATTTACATATGGAAGTATTATAGTAAAATGGCAATGATTTCTTAACTTTAAATTAAATAAATCCCGTTGTCTTTGTATTACACTCTTTCAATTGACCAGGCATGTAAGCACTGCAATGCAATACTTCAGCCCTGATTTTGATGTTTTTGAAGCTACAGCACCACCAAGTGGATCGAAAGCATCAGCACATCTGTCATTGTCGAGGAAAAAAACATTAGAATGTCAAATCAATCGGCATGTTCAGCCACCTAATTTAATGTTTCAGATTGTGTATTATCCAAAATGATCAGAATAAACAGCAGGAGCAGAAATTTATTTTCCACATTTGCATCAGTATCATTTCACAGAAACACAAATAAAAGGAATTGGATGTTACTTTTTGGTTGTTATTACACCATTAATGATTCATACAGATAAGCTTAAACTAAACTTCCAGTTGAACGGGTGTAAGAAAGCAGAAGTAAGAACATAAGAGACAAACATGTGTATGGATATTGCTAATTTAGAACTGAGGTGTCTGTCTGCCTGCATGAACACCTGCAGGACTTTGATGTTGATGAATTCATAGTTAAAGTAGGGTTTTAAATCAGTCAAAGCAGAACTCTAAAATGAAACGTAATTATTCAAAACAAAGACAAATCTCAGATTCAATTTTATTAATTAGTTATCCATACGAGGTAACTAAGAAGTGTAAGGGAAAATGTATTTTAAACGGCTTGATTTTTCTCCGAGGAACTACTTGTATGTTTCCATTTAATGCTATTTTATACTTCTACTCTAATACATTTCAGTTGGAAATATTGTATGTTTTGAATATGAATTTGGTAGCAGTTTTTTCTTCAATCGCTCCTATGAGGCGGGGCTGATCTCTAGGCTGGGAACCACTGAATTAAACAATCTAAAGCTATATAAAGGGCTCAAAATGTTGTGCATGCATTGATTCATCAAGATAAACAATTTAATGTAATGTATAATAATATATCAGTCACAGGAGACATTTTTTTGTGGAACCAGTACTTTTACTTGTGATTCTTTAAGTCAATTTTGATAATGATACTTTGAACACTTACTGATAAAGGAAATTAAATTATTTTAATTTGTAATGGAGTACTTTCAAATTATTTTTATTGGTATTTTTATTAAAGGAAGGAAGGTACTGATAGAAAATATTAAAAGTATTTATTTTTGAAATGTTGTAGTGTGTATGCCATATGTCATATACAATAACATTATACTAGATATAATTACATTCAGTTAATTGATTGGCAACAGTCAATCAGTGCATGGCTAATCAAATCCCTTTCACAGCATCTTAACATTAATATTCTAGTCTGTGGATTAATTGTTTTACCACAAGGTTTTGAGTACACCTCCATAATCATTTCTGTTTATAATGAGAAGCACTGTGAGTTTCAGGTCCTTGTTGCTTAAAATTAACTCTCTAACGAGCGACCAGGCTGTTGACCAGGAGCCATAATGAGTCCCTTAGGGGTGTGAGACTGGTCTGGTTGAGTCTGAACCTACCTGTCTGTCCTCGGGAGCTTTGGTTGCCAGTGGACACTAGCTGGCTACAGAAGCCTACACAAAGAAGCAGGAGGCCCCAGTGTAATGGTCGAGCCATTATGTTCAGCTTCATCTTGCCTGTGCAGACAAAGAGGTTCATGCACATTTGAACAGAAATATGTGTAGCCTATATGTTTGCGTAAGACCATAAAGTTTCTGATACCCCCTGACTTGTGATATGTGGTTTATAATTTCTGCATCTGATATTTGCTTGTTTATGACTTTCACATCACTAAGCTAAGCCAAGGCAAATCAAAGAAATGCCAATAAAAGCCAGAGGCAACTTTGAGGCAGATAAGAGTGGGTCCTTGCACTCTTTTCCGACTCTTATTATCCTTTCGGCTGTAAACATCTCTGCATTCAAAGCTCAACTCTTCCTCCACAACAAGTTATATTCCATGAGTCACAGAAAAACTGGGACATGGACTTTTAAGTCATACCACAGCAATAACTACTGCAAAACAAAGATGACATAAAGCAAAACATCACTTAATTCACTAGTTTTCTTGAGCCGTTTTCTTCCACTCACAGCTCATTTATGTTTATCATTTCCAGTATTAATTAATCTGCAGATTATTTAAACAATTACGAATCCTTCACAATTTCCCAAAGTCTAAGCTTCAAATTGCTTTGTTTTGAGTCCACAACTTTAAGATATTTAACTTAAAATCACATAAAACAGAGGGGAAAAAAGCAAATCCTTACATTTAAGTAGCTGGAGCCAGCAAATGTCTGGTAATTTTCATCTGAAAAATTATGATTAATCATCAGCAAATTAGTACGCGATCAATTCATCATTTAAAAAAAATGTTTTTACAAGTATTGCACATTAATATTCAATGATAAAGACATAATTTGTCATTAATCAGTCTCAGAATATGTCTGCCATATGCCAGTAAAGCTACTGTATGACATACACACATACTGTACCATGTTGTATACCATGATAATAAATAAATAAATAAATAAATAAATTTATTTACAGAATACACAAGAGACTATATAAAAATAAAATACATATAAGTTTGCTCAATAATGAGTTAGCCACAGTTAAAAACAGACTTTTGACAGTGACTGAAATTAACATTTTTACCTCTGCTCAGGTTACTGATATACATGATAAGCCACCGCTGAAATCCCCATCAGTGTCTGGATTAACATCATGTGTACCATATAATGATAAGGATGCAAAAGTTAGTTGTAATCCTCCAGTTTCTCAAATTTTCTGCCTCAATTAGTGTGAGCGAGAAAAACAATCGGCCCGTCTTCTGGTGAATAACGACCCAGCTGCTCAATAAAAAGCTGCAGATTCACACATCAGCTCTTCTCCCTGGAGTTTTTGTAGCCTACCTTTCCGGCAGGATGTCATCTGAGAGACGTGTTGGTCTGTGACTGTCTGTTGGATCACTCCGGCGAGCAAAGCCTGCCAGCTTTTCGCGTCAGGAAAATTAAAACTTAATCAAGACAGAAACCATCTGTCTCCCGGACGATAGGCCTATGCGGCCACTTTCATTAGCGCCATAAGAAGCTTATAGAGACTGCTGACATCCTGTCACCAGTTGTGGAACGGAACTAAGTAGGCTACATTTATTCAAGTATTGAACTTGGAGCTACTTGTATTTTTCTTTCCGTTTTATGCTACTTCATACTACTCAACTAAGCTACTTTCCACTAAACTACATTACATTTAGGCCTAACTCCATTTAGCCTACATCAGGTACAAAATACCCCTTAGAAATTATTATTAATTAATTATTATTTATTAGTACATCTTGCTGATAATAGTTACTTTTACAAGGTACATTTATTTGTCATATTACAACAGGGTCGTACAATGAGATGCAGTTTGTAGTAAGCAAACAATTTATACAAAAAAGTATATAAAATAATATACAGAAATAAAGTATTTTGCAGGTGCACTGCTGAGGCTATCATCAGCAAATGTACCCTTAAATGTAGGATTTTTACTTAACTGGGTACTTTTACTTTGAGGTATTGGTGCTTTTACTAAAGTCAATAGTCTGACAGTTGTGGAAACTAAGTATGTTTACTCCAGTAGCCTACTGCACCAAAAGTAAATTAGAGTGCTGAGGTAGGCCTACTTGTGCTTTCCTTTATGATTTAAATTTTGTGTTACTTTACGTTCTCCATTACATTTCAGATTTGTTTTGTTCATCTTACTCAAGTAAAATGTTGAGTGCATGACATGTAGGTGCACCATTAAAGTGATGTTCACATTAGTGCATCAGCAATTATAATCCAGTAAAATGGGTCATTCTGCAACTCAGTATATTTTGATGCTACTTTTACTTACTGTAAGATTTTGAATGCATGGATTTTACTTATGAGTGTTTTGACACTGTAGTATTGCTACATAAAAGTAAAAGATCTGAAGAATTCTTCCACCACTGCCTGTCACACACATCTGCATCTAAAAGTCTAGTCATGTGGTTTATTCTGTTCTCACGTAATATTTTATTTCTCAAGTTTTCTTTAAGGTCATATCTAAAAACATCCTATTTACTTATTTATGCTGCACTCTGCCAAGCAGCAAAGGTGAGATTTCACACCTGATAGTTTGCTCCATAAGTTCCTGAAATTAAAAATAGAATTTGCAATGCATTAATTAAGTACGTAACATTACTCAAAGTAACATGTAAAACTGAGATTTAAATATTCAATTAGGCCTCACCAGAAAAGTGCAATATTATTTCCCAAAATCAATAAAATATTTATAATTGCTCAGGGATTCTTATTCAAGAAATAATTGGGAAATATGCTCATTAACCAAAAAGTTTGCTATAGATGCGAAGACTGAGACCATTACTAATTAGCTGCCAGTTAGCTTAGCTTAGCATAAAGACTGGACTCTAAAGGAAACAAAATGTGCCTAATAGTACTCTAAAATTTCACTGGTTAATGATTTTAATTGATTAATCTGTACAAAAAAGCAATGTGTTCAAATAACGTGGTTATGTACCACACTAGCAAGCTTCAGGGGTGCTAAGCAGCAGATTATTTTTGGACAGCATCAAGCTAGCTGCTTCTAGTCTTTATGCTAAGCTAAGCTAACCAGCTGCAGGCTGGGCTGGCAGTGGCTTAATATTTAAAAATGTTGGCACTATTCCTTTAAAATTGTCACATAAATCATTTGTTATTTTAATAAAAACAAAAGCAATATATGTATATGACTTCCTATTTAAATATGTTTAATGTTTAATTTAACACACTTAAGCCCTGGACACACTTGCTTTTAACTACGCATTCGCATCGGCAAGATGGCTGCCACGCGTACCCTGCGTTCCTTTGAAGTGTAGGTTGTGCATGTCTCCAGAAATTAACGTTACTTGTCCGCAAGATGCAATTCAGCACATGAACATGGGGCAGTTGGTTACCCAACAGCCATTAAACGTAAAAGAAGGTGGTCATCAGCAGACTTAAAAAAGGACATTTATTGCGGGATGTTTACAATAAAACACTTGGAGCTAGTCTGCAATTACCAAGATCGTTATGATGTCTCATTAAAATCATACCCTCCTCGAGTGTCGCTGTTTGCTTTGTTAACGATGTGCATATTCGGAGGTTGTCAAGATAATCCGGTGTCAGCGAGGGATGATCAAGCCCTGATCTGCCCCTAGTGGATTCACGTTTAATCGTCTAGGTACACGCAAAGTACGCAAGAAAGCATGTGAACAATGCCGTTTGCGACGCTGACACCTGTTTATACCTACGCATTGTTAAAAAGCAAGTATATCGGGGATTTTAAAGTTCTTCGAGATGATCAGCGCAGCTGCCCTATTGCTTCCAAGTGAAGAAAGATGACATGGGGGAAAAGATTCCTCCACAACCATGATAATAAAGCTTTATTAGAGCATAGTGCACATCATTATTCTCATTTGATTGACAGGGAAATAGCTACAAGATAAGTCAGCACAGGACAAACACACAAAGAAGTACACAATGTTATTATTAGAAAAAAAACAATGCTGTTAAATGATTCTATATTCATATGACAACCAATTTTATCCCAAAAGTGGGACCTTACTCATCTTATTTACATTATTACATCAAATGTGCTGCTGTAACATCACAGTAACCTTGTGATACAAGACCCAGTTCCCATTCAGATGCAGTCAATCTGACATAAGTGCTGTAATGAATGTTCAGGTGGTGAAATTGAGCTTGAAGAGAACCGTCTGGGGCGTGGTGACGTCGGCCACAGCTAGTTCCTGTCCATCCGACAGGCCCAGCTCTGCATCAGAGGAAAAATCATGTAGTATTACACGGATGTTATCATGAATGTCAGCTACAGGTCACTTTGGACAGACTGGGAATAATGAGGGGGAGTGCTGCTTCTTATTACCTTTCAAAGTCTTGCAGAGGTTTGGTCTGGTTCGTTCCTCGATGGATTTCACAGACTGGAATAAAATTGTAATCATAGTTTAATCATCGTTTATAATGAAAAAGCATGCAGCATTCTCAAAAATGTATACTGTATATTACCTGCAAATACAGTGTCTTATTCTTCCCTTCAAGAGTTGTGGTGATAGCCGGGGATTTCATTTGTCTGGAAAACATTTATACAAAATTTTAACCTAATTGTTAAAGAAGCATCACTAAATGTTTTTTTTTGTGAATACTCACAGAGAGGAGTTCTCTGTTAGGTACTCTAAAACCTCCTGTAATTTGGCAGAAGGAGAGAATTGGAGATCCTGAGGTACCTGGCTGCAGGCCGAACAATTTTCCTGCAGATAACCAGAGTCAAGTGATTATACTCTGTACAAAGAAATTTACATTACACTGACAATTAGGGCACAACAAACCTTTCGTTCAGCTTCAAAAGTGTAGGTGTACAGTCCATCCACGTCATTAAAGACCAGGTAATTATTTAAAGGAATATATGCACTGCAAAACAAAATCTAATGTTAAGTAATGTTCATTTGACAAATCAGCAAATAACTTGGATGAGGAGTAAAGATGTTTTTTTTCTGCACCTAACCTTGTAGCAATTTTAAAAACCTCCGTGGCACAGGCAGCTATGGAGAACAAAGACAAAATTAAGTATAGTTATGT